GAAAGGGACTCTGCTGAGTTTGGGACGGCTTGAATACTTGTCACTGGTGGGATCCCAGGACAGTTGCAGCCCTGCTGCGGGCAGCCACGCTGAGCCCTGCTCTCCCCTTCCTGCCTGGGGCAGGGCCTGCCTGTGTCAGCCAGGGAGGGGGTGGCATCAACATGGTGCTCCAATCCAGGTCCTCCAATGTGCGAGCTACTGGGGCACTGGAAGTGTGATGCAAAAAAAAATTCCCTTCTCTCTCTCTCTCTGGCCCGCTCTTAACAGGTCTGTCCCATACCTGCTACAGTGTCTGCACTTCCAAAGAGGTCCTCTTTCTCCATCCTGACCTGTTACGGCAGCTGATGCCTGTGGGAGCCAGAGCTGCATGCCTTTGCTCCTTTGGCACATCAAAGTTGGGCAGAAGCAGCCAATGCATGTAATAAGGTGTGGATAGGTGCTTTGCTGGCAGCTGGTCTAGTGCCCCAAAACGTTCACTGCTGTTACTAGAAAGAAAACTGAACGTCTCAAGAACGATGCAAGCATGGGCAGTTAATGCCTCTGAGGTACGGAGATGCCACGTTGCTTCCTGCAGGGCAGCTCTCCTCCTTGGGAAATGCAGCAAGTGCTGACACACAGGATCCTGGACTTCCCCAGCATGAGAAGTCCTGCCCGCCACTAGACACTAATAAAGCGAAGAGCAGTTTTCTCCAAGGGCAGTGGAGAGTCCAGGACTGGGAAGGACCACAGGAAGACAAATACGTTCTAGAGAAAGGTAATGTAACCCCTGGTGAAACTGCCTCTCTGTTCCCAGTATGGGGCAATTTGCATTTGTCCTAAATGGGACAATTCCACCAGCTAATTGGTGCCAGAATAGTCGGGAGCAGAAAAGTAGGACTGTTCCGGCAGTTAAAAATTGTTACATGTTGATTGCAAGTTTCCGGAGTACTCATTGGAGGTACCTGTTATAATGCCGCCTGCCACAGGTGTTACACTTTTAAGTAAAAGTTAACACTTTTCCCCATAATATTTGATGTTAAATGAAGTTCAGTTTTCTTTTTCCGCTTGTTACCTAGCTGTTTGATACCTGGCTAACTCTGAGGTTATCTGGATGCAGTTTTGTTAGGGGGAGCCCAGTGATTCCTCCTTCCTCGACTTCCCCTGCAGCTGTATACACCCTCAGCTGGGATATAGCGATTGATATATGAGCATGAATCAGTCTGAGAATGGTTGTGACTCATTCAAGCCTGCTTCAGATCTTGGCTGAAGCAGCTGTGATGGCCGATAAAGCCGTGGAAAAATAAAGCTGGTGAAGGATCCCTGAATCATGTGCAGGAGCTGTAGGTGGTGATAGCAGGCCGGCTGGGCAAGGGGAGTGTTTTGACATTTGGATGAACAAAGTTGGCTTTTTCTTTGCTCTCAGTGTAGTTATTCAAGAGATGGGGCTCTGTAGGGAGACTGTGGTTGCCTTCCCTGTGGTCATCGGAAAGTCAGGCTGTGCCCCAGCCTTTGGACCACAGCCCCGAGGAGGGAGCAGCATGCCTAGGGACAGGAGAACACCACAGTTGCTGCTCCTCCGCAAAGCACTTGTGCTGCCTGGTGCCAGCCGTGCTCCCTGCTCCTGCTGTGCAGGAGGTAGCGTCAAGCTGGGCCCTTCTCTGCCTGCCGGGGTCCTCTCCCTGCTCAGCAGGGGCAGAGCAGCAGCTGTGCCTCCACCCTTTCCCTGTTGCTGCAGAGCCGGGGGTATGCCAGGAGGGCAGCAAAGAAGCGTGCAGGGACGTGGCAGAGTCCTGCCTCTCTGGGCCTTGCAGTTTGTTTTGCCCCTACGTGGGGCAAGCCCACCAAAACAGTTAACAGGCAAGGATCTGCAGAGCCTGCTCTACTCACTGCTTTATTTTGCTCCTCGCAAGTAGGAAGAGCATCTATGAACAGGAGTGAGGCCGAGGCGTCGTTTCCAAAGGGAGCTCTGTGCTTTAGATTGTATCTTTTTCTTAATTTATTCTCTCAGGCTAAACTTATTTCTGTGTTGATGTTTGATATCTGCTGTCTTTGTGATTTATTCTTGGAATCTAAGGCATGAGCTAGCTAGATAAGAAACACAGCAAGCGTTTAGGATGATACCATCAACAATTATTTTTAATTAATGCTCCCGGTGTTTTGATTTAAAAAAAAAAAAAAAAGGAGAAACAAAAGTCCCATTACGCAGATTAAAGAAAAGATTTTAAGAGAGGGAGCATTTGTTATTTATACCTTGTCACCAGGCATGTTAACTATGAAACAAGCTGGAAACTGTGGAATAAAATGACATCTTATTTGAATCTTTGTATCTGTTCTTTGGCTGGGATTACTCCAGGTGTGAAAGTGGTTGTCATGTATAGTATGCTTCATCTGCGCACCCACTCTGTTGTCTCTGTGTATGGCGGTGGTTGAAACGGGACTCAAAGTGGTGGGATGACCCTGCTGAAAGTCTAGGGTGGTGGTCTGTATCCTGTTGCACAAGGGCAAGTTTCTGTGTTTGCAGTAGCTGGTGGGGCGACAGGTAGCCCTGCTTGAGTGCTATGCTAGCAATGCTAGAAGAAAAAAAGGCTCCAGAAGCATGAAGATGCTGTTGAACCT